ACTTCTATCCACCTCTCCTGATTTGTTCTCACACTTTATTTTTCACTTTTGTGGCTGTCAGGACCAGGCCACATGGAAAGCTTTGCAGCAGGACCAGGGAGCCTGGGAGGCAGGTATGGCTGCATTGCTAGGGGTCACAAGTCTGTGGCTTGACTACAGAGGAGTTGGGAGCATCAGTGGCCAAACGGGGGGCTGGTAGGCCATTGAGAGATGGGCAGAAAACGTTCTCAGAGGTAGAGTGTCACAGGCAAGAAGGCTCTGGTCCTTCACATGATTTACTTTGCCAAGTTGTGACTTCCCACATCTGGCAGCTGATTTTTTCACAGAGCCTGTGCTACCCTCAGTGAGATTGGCACATGTCATGGTCTTTGGGTGGCCTGGTAGCCTGATAAGTCCACTTATTGTGGACTTGACTGTCCAGACAGGTTGTTGGTGGTGCCTGCTGGACAGCTTACCAGGTCCACCTGTCTTGGTCTTTGGGTATCCAGACCACTTGCTGGGTTGAGCCCATGGTGGTCTTCCGGTGGTCAGGCAGCTTTCAGGGTTGTGCCACATTGAGTGCTTTGTTTTCCCAGAGGCAGCTGAAAAATGAGAGTGATGGCCTTTGCCATCTCTGCTTTGCTAAGAGGAGAGGATCAGATGAACTAATGTACATGGATACAATCTGTACATTGTAAAGTGCTATAAAAATAACTCAGCAAAAGGCTTGTCAGTTTCTTCTGTCTCATATGACAGGTAAAGGGAATGACAATAATATTTTTTAGGTTGGAGAAGGTAAGAAAAGATCGAAAGAAGTTTGCTACACGTGAAAGCAATTATTTGATCAGAGCTGGGAAGGGGGTACACCCTTGGTTGTTTCCTCATCCTTGCTCTTTGCCCTCTACACAAAAGAGGAACCGGTCTGCATGGCATCTGGCTTATTGACCAGACAGATGTTTTGGCTTATGTCACACAAGTGGATTGGGCAGGGCTGCTGCCTCACAAACAAGGAGGCTGCCGGCTGGTGAAGGGAAATGGAATTGTTTTCCAGGGCTTACTCGGGATATCTTACCAGGCAGGGTTGGGCAACCGTGGTTGGAAGTTGGTGCTCAGGTACACAGGGAATAACTGGATGTTCCACTTTGTTTGCCGTTGTCCCGAGTGATGGAATCACAAAGGGGGTTCGATTAGTGACCGTATACATGTGCCAGTAGAATACCCTTCTGGCTCCTCTAGACCAGCAGTAACTCCTCACACCAGCTGCAGACTTCACTTTTAGTGTGTGCTTGTTCTTTTAAATTACAAAAGTCTTACTTGTTATTTGCTGAAGTTACATCAGAAATGATACATGGTCTGTAGTGGTAGTTTGAAGAATTTTGGAGATTTTTTTTCTCTCGTTTGAGAAGATGCTAGCTGAGAGGGCCTATGCTATACAAAACCCTTGTTGCCATGTTTTGTGTTAAAGCTCCAGGCCCCAAGACGCCTTCCCCTGCTTCCCCTCTATCCAATGCATGGTTGTAGAACCAGGCCCAGATGCTGCTTGGTTCAGACCTTGGGTTCCACAAGGGGGGGGGGTCTGGCTGGGGTTACCCATGTGCCCGCCCTCTGTCCCTGCTGTGTCAGGTATGGCACAGCTCACCTGGGTGCTTTCTCTTCTCTGGACCTTCCTCCTGCCTAGGGAGGAGGCCTAGTTAAACATTTCAGTAATCTCCTTCCCTTAGAGAAAAGAGGATTTCCTCCGACCTATTTTCAGCAGAGGATTAGAGACAATGAAGTTCCACCACAGGGTGTCATCTAGATTTTGTGTTATTTTTCAAGGTCTGATATTCCCTGCTGCCCCCGTCAATATCCTCAGAGGTGCTGATGAGGTCATGAGATGGTGTTTGGGGGTAAAGTGGAACCCCCTAGGTTTACAGTTGCTTTGAGTCAGAGGAATGTAAGACATTATTAGGTAGCCATGAATTTTTCACACATTTTTTTCTCAGTCATGAACAACTTTGATACAAAACTGAAATCACATGTAGGTGAGAGCTGAAGTGATTGTCACAGATGCTAGAGTTTCTGTCTCTCTGATGTAATTCAACTCATTTAATCACTTTTTGGATGCGAAATGAAAGTCCAGTGGCATTGGAAAATGTATTTACAACCATCCCCACTGAGATTCTTATGAAGAAATGGCTTAGTACATGCCAGGTGCTTGACACTCATTGCTTCTCTGATGCTTATTGAGTACTGGCAATAGTGCACACTGTTGGCAGTAGGAAGAAACTGGGTGAACACACATGAACGAAGAAGGGGTGAGGCCGAGGACAAGAGGATCGCTGGGGTGAGAGGGGCCTCCAAGTGGACAGCATGGCTCGCCAGCCCTCTGGGTCAGGAGGAGGATGGACACAGGATGGCCCTGATTGTGCTTTACTTCACAGGGTTCATGTTGGCTGCCCCTTAAGTTTTATGGCTTAAACTGTGGAATATGCATTATATTTTGATAAAGTTTTAAATTTAAGAATATGGCCAAGAAATTGTTACAGAATATCACAATAGAAACTTAGGAGGAATTTTTAAATTGATTAATTTTTTTGTTAATATATTTCCACCTTGAGACTTGCACATACTTTTGGGCACTGTGTTGTACTTCCGTGCACATGTACATGTGTAGTGCTGAGAGGAGGATAGCTGACGTGTCTCTCACCTCACACATTTAGTATTTGGTGTTGGGAACATTCAAAGTCTTTTCTATGGACTATTTTGAAATATCCTAGTAATTGCCAGCCTTTGCCAGCTGCCTGTGCTTAAACTTCGGGAAGTAGTCCTCATATCTAACCACAGTACTATACCCACTGACACCCATTCTTCCCTGCCTTCCTCACCCCTCCTCTCCACCCACCTCCTTTCCCTCCTCTCCCCCTCCCCCTCTACACACTTTGTAGCCTCTCTGAAGTGAGAGCTGTTGCACTTACTTTCTGAAATCAATATTTCCATGGGTACCAGTAGTGCTGGGCCTTCTGCGGCTGACTTACTTTACTTAAAACAATGATTGTTAACATTGTAAAGATGTGTTGACTTATTGAATGAATAAACAAGGGATTGACCCTAGACAGCTGCTTATTGTATTAAAATTATGTTTTGAGCTGGGTGCTGGTGGCTCATCCTTGTAATCCTAGCTACTTAGGAGCTAAGATTGAAGCCAGCCTTGGCAGAAAAATCCATGAAACTCTTTATCTCCAATAAAAACTACCAGAAAGCTGAAGTGGCGCTATGGTAAAATGCTAGCTAGCCTTGAGCAAAAGAAGCCCAGAGACAGCACCCAGGACTGAATTCAAGCCTTAGGACTGGCACAAAAAAAAACCCAACAAAATAAAAAGTCATATCCATGCTGTAAAGACTGTTTTGTATTTATCCTTTCATGTTTGTGATGTGAAATTGACTATAAGTTCTAGAACTTCCGCATCGTCCCAAACCAGAACCGACCTATGGGCAATTTTACTTATGGAATTTACTGTTTGATATTGTATAGCTTGATTTTTTAGGAACACTTTTTAATCAGGAGAAACACTAGCAGGGTGATGATAAGACTTCTTGAAACTTAAGCATCAATTAAATTTTAATGAAAAATGTAACCAGATGGGAGGATTTTTTTCTCTTAAGTAATAGGTGATGGTAAGGGTTTAGGTGAGTCCTTGAGTGTGAGCATTTGTGCAAGCCTGCTCTGAGCTGAGGTCTGAGACTCAGACTTTCAGACAGAAATAATTATTCCAGAGAGGAATGTCTTGATTAAACTTAGACTGGATAATACTTTAGCAATAGGAGACAGACAGCTGCAGAACACATAGCTGCACGTTTGAGGTTAAGCCTCAGCCATTGTGTGGCCTCAGGAAGCTGTGGGCCCCCTCCCCAAGAGCAGCTGCAGAACGGCAGTGCTGTGTGTGAGCATCCTTCCAGAAGCCCTCTTCTGCTAACTTATAAAATTGATGATTTTATTATCTAGAAAATCCTTAATTCATGGATCCATCAGATTTATTTGTATTTGAATGCTGTCCTAAAAACTTGTAGGTTCTGTGAGTTTATTATTGTTGCTTCGCCAAAGGTGGTATAATTTTTGTTCTAAATTGATGTGATTTATTTCATCAGTTGCTGTTGCTTTTGAAAGGAAAGCATGGCTTCAGAGGTTATAGCCTCCTTCTTAGCACTTGCTTTGTTAATAAGACACTTTGTTGTACAATTGAAAATTGGGGGACACTCACACATTTGCGCTGGAGAGCTGCATGACCTGAAACTGATAGGTGAGTACAGGTCAGGAGCGAAAGTGTACGTAGCTTCTTAGTCCCACGACATGAGCTTACTAAGCATCGTTGCTTCTCAGCTTGTTACCTTGCACCTTTGGAAGTGATGTAGGTCTGGTGGAGAGACCTACCAGCTGTGGCTTTCCCACTGACACGTGGGGGCTGGCATGGCCCTGAGGACTTGTCTGAACTCTGCCACAGTCAGGTCTTGCAAGTGTCTTATCTTCCTGGAGAGTGACCATCTGTTACCTATGTGCTAGACATGTTGTTGAAGCTGAGTTTGCATAGAGAATTTAGGATTGTATGTGTCTTGTTTTATTTGATTTGTTAGTGGTCTTGGGTAAAGGAGACAGGGAGAAAAAAAATTAGTTTGTGTCTTGGAGCAAAGGCTGGTAGTGGAGGACTTTCTCTGGAGCAGCTCTGATGTCAGGGTGCCGAGTGTTTATCAGGACTGTTTGTGCAAGGAGGAAGCAAGAGGATGGAGAAAGTCCTGTGCCACCACCAGCTCCCCAGCGGGGCCCTTATATACCCTTGGGTCCTCTCCCTCACAAGGAGGAGCTATTCCCGGGGAATGACTGCAGGGGGCCCGAGGCTTAGAGCTGATGGCCCTTGAGCAGTGCTGACCATGGAGGCTGGCCATGTCTGCAGCTAGGCATCAGAGTTCAGCAGTGAGCATCTCCTGGGTCCCACAGTTATTACATGGACCTGATACTCTCTACCAGTCCTCTCCATGGTCAGCACATGGACCTGGTGCTCTCCACCAATTCCCGTGGTCAGCACATCATTGACCAGGTGCTCTCCACCAGTCCTCCCCATAGTCAGCACATGGACCTGGTGCTCTCCACCAGTCCTCTTCATGGTCAACACATGGATCTGGTGCTATCCACCAGTCCTCTTCATGGTCAGCACATGGACCTGGTGCTCTCCACCAGCTCCCTGCAGTTCTCTGGAGCTGAGGTTCAAGATGTGGGAGACATGAAAGAACCGGAGCTAGACCTCAGGCAGTCCACTCACGAGCCTGCCATGTGCTCCTCAGTGTGGCAGTGTAGCCTGCTGCACCAGTATGAGAACTTAGTTCTACAATGGTATCTGTGGTTCTCTTTGCAGCTGTGTAGCATGTGGAGGGGATACATGACTTCCAGGTTGGCCTCATGGGCCTCAGAGAGAGAGAAGGCCAGCACTTGGCCTTGCACATTCAAGATCCAAATGGCTGTCCCACTGTCAGCGAGTTTCTGCACTTGGTGTTGCCCTGGCATCATTCAGTCTGCAGATACGGGTTTCAGTTTTGGCATTGCCTGTGGAGTCATTTGGCCTGCAGATTTGGTGTGCCTAGTGAAGCCTGGACTGTTTGGCACTGCTGGTAGAGTTATTCAGCCTGCAGACTCGGTGTGCTAGTGAAGCCTGGACTGCTGGCACTGCCGGCAGAACTGTTCAGACTGAATACGTAATGTGCTAGTGAAGCCTGGACCGAGAGGAATATAACTGCTGATGCACTTGTCACCCCGGTGGGCATCAGTGCAGAACTGGCTTTTTCCAACAGGCTGTGACAGACGTGGGTGAGGCAGGCATAGCCACTCCCCAGCAAACAACCAGTGGGGATTTTCCTCTCTTCCTGATGCATGCCAGAGCTTTCCACACCAGGCCAGAACTTCATATCCAGCAGCCATGCCAGAGCCTTCTGGAGGAGGGCTTCCAGAGGAGGGCAAGGCCCCATGTGGTCAGCATGGTGGAAGGCCATCATTGAATGTTTACCACCAGGAGCAATGCAAGAGGTTGTTCACAGATGGCCAGCATGGACGGTGCAGGAAGAAGTCAGTTCCAGACAGTAACGTCATAACCATCTGCCATCCCTGTACGGTGGGCTCTCAGTGACCATCTTCTGCTGCCCTCTGTGATGGGCTCCGGTCCTTGCCATGTGATTGGTGGAGGTCTTGGGCCCTGGTCACCTGGGGGAGGGAAGAGGTTAGAGGAGGCCAGAGGGTCGGTCTGAGCCTGTCACAGCTGTGGAGGAGCTCGTGGTGCTGGCCAGGTCATCAGGACCCGCTGAGTGCCATCCTGGTGCTCACAGAAGAGAATCCCTGCCCCCACCCACTGAGTGCCATTGCATTGCAGGCTGTCCTGCTGAGGCCCACCATGTAAATTATGATGACATGTTCAGGAGTATAATCTATTTCACTGAGGTGATGAAAAGGAAAGGAAATGTAGAAGACTACATTTAGTGTGTCCTTACGGCATGTTCCTAATTATTTGTTTGAAATATTAACAAGTAAGCGTTGGGCTCACCTTATATGCTTTCTTGAGGCAAAGTAAATATTCTCGTCCATATGTAGGAATTAGCCCCGAAATCATGGCTTGTGTGCACAAAGATGATCATATTAAACACGCTCCTGATTCTTGTGAGGGACTGTGATGTGGGCTTTTCTTAGTTTCTTTGAGGCTGAGTCTCACTCTATAGCTCAGGCTGGCCGGGAACTCACTGTGTAGCTGAGCCTGTCTCAGAGTGCTGGGATTACAGGCATAGGCCACTACATCTGGCTCACAACAGTGTACACAGGAGATGTGCAGGACCACATGAGGATGTAGGGGGTGCCAGTGGAGTAGTGAAACAGCATTGAGGATCCAATCCTGGGCCACCCTGCAGGACATAAACCTCTTTGTAGAAGATGCTACCTGCCACACTGAGCATGGCTCATGGGTATAGGGTATGGAATATGGGGTAGGTCAGTTGTCTGAGCTCCTGCTACAAAGAAGGTATAAGTGGGTAAAGGGGTCAGGAGAGATGCAGGCCCGCTATGATAGAGGGGCACATCCACACAGGAGCGGCTGGCTCTATCCTTTGTCTGTAGGAAGATCCCAGGGGCTCTGCTGGATATCTGAAGGCAGGGAGGGAGCCCTGCTGTGGGGATCATCTCAGTGGAAATTGTGCTCCTAAGAGCTCTTCCCAGGAGAGTCCCTGGTCCACCCAGTGCATGAGCTCAGGCTATCGTTAGTCTGGCCCCTGCCTGTGTTGCCTGCGTGTCCTTACCACGCAGCCGGCCAGCCAGCCATGTTGCTGCTGGTGCCAGGTTGGCAGGCAACAGAGAAAACCAGCTGCCCTAGCTTGCACACTTGGAGAAACGTACATATTATGGAGGGTAATTTGAAGAGCTAAGAGGAGCAGAGAATCTATGTAAGGTTTTAAAATTACTGTTTGTTTTGAAGAAAAGACCTGACAGAATAAAAACTGTGCTGTGTGTCCCTGGATACCCAGCTCTAGTGGCAAATGTGGCTAGTAGGAGAGGACCGCTCATAGAGAGCTTGCAAATCTTTTGTTTGGTGGGGAATGCCTGACCTGCAAGGACACAGGAGATCCACGGAATCAAGGGCCTACAACGGGACAGAGCAGAGATGTGTGCCTCTCATCAGCTGCTGAGGCTGCCTGCCTATACTGATAATTTTCTAGTGCCCACAATTGATGTTATAAATACCCAAATGACCTTTTGCTGAAAAAAATGTTCCCCACCCTGTGCATTTTGAAAACTTACAGGTATCACGTGTATATTGTGCACAACTTGGCATTATGTGCGTGGATAGGTCTGAACTGCTCCTAGTGATAGCTTGTTTTTAGCAGGTTTAACTACTATATTCTGCCAGTAATTACTGACAGTCCTCTAGAAATCAGCTACTGTGCTCAGTACCAGAAATACAGTAAACTAAACAAAAAGGTGAGACCTGATCTTTCAAACAAGTGCCATACAGAAGTTGTCATAAGTGACATATTGTGCACAATACATCTTGCCTTGTCTTTGCCCAAGAGGAAGTTGGGTACCCAGTGGACTGGCCTGGTTCACTGCTAGTGCATGCATCCTCAAGGTCGGCTGGAGGGCTACCTCCACCTCCATAGGCTGCCTCTGCCTCCACCGCCACCGCCACCGCCACCACCACCACCAGCACCTCCTCCTCCTTCTCCTCCTCCTCCTCCTCCTCCTCCTCCTCCTCAGCCTGCCTCCGCCTCCTCAACCTCTACTACAGGCTGCCTGTTTCCTAAGGGCCACTGGCTACAAGGAGACCAATCAGGATGCCCAACTGAAATACAGATGACTTTGATGTTCTAGAACTAAATACTACAGTTGCCAGTCAACTGAAATACAGATGACTTTGGTCTTCTGGAACTAAACTATGGCAGTCAATCACACCAAGAGCTTAAGCAGCTGGGCAGCCAGGCATTTGGGTACAGGTTGAGCTACAGTCACCCACGTGCTTGTAGTCATCTTACTGATGAGCATAGGAAGTAGTCCTGTCTCTAGACAGGAGGGAGGGATGCGAGCTTTTTCTGGAATGAAAAGGAGAGACAGTAAGCATTGTAGAGGCCACATGGTCTGTACAGGACATGGCCAGGCAGGGTATTAGGGATACAATGTCTGGGAACCAAGAAACTTTATGAAACAGTATACTGATGCAGACTTTCTGAAGCTTTGTTTTGGGATGTGCATGGGTCTTAAGTCAGTCCAGGGTAGGTCCTTGACATCCTCAGAAACTTTCATCCAAGGCTAGAAGACTCCTTGTTAATGTAGAAGTTGGGGTGTGACTGCGGATGTGACAGTGGGTGATCCTGGTCCAGGAGCACAGCTATGTGTGACATGCCACCCTGTTATTGACCAGATACCATTGCTAGAACTTTTCACTATGTTTGTTTTCCTTCTGCCTGGTTCCCATGGTCTCTAACTGCTCCCTGAAGAGGGACAAGCCAGGCCAGCTCTTCATTCTGCCCTTACCTCAGTCTAGCCAGCGTGTCCGAGAGTGAGAGGTGTTGGGAGGAGCTGCCATGGCGCTTGGCTATTTTTAGTGACCCTGCTAGCTGATGTTTTCAGGCCTTGTCTGACAAGGCCAGCAGCCACCACGACTCATGGGAGCTTTAAGAAGTGGTGACACTAACCTCTACCCTGCTTTGAAACCAGCCTGTTTGGAGATTTGCTATTTGGAGATTACTTTTAATTAGCTCATAATGATTAAGTGAATATATATAATAGTAATCTATACTTACAGCAGAGTTTATGCTATGAATTACAAAGAAAAGCAGAGTTCTTGGTTATAGATTTTGGAATTGGAGCAGGGGTGGAGGTTCTCACTTCTGTCCTGTGCCCCTGGCGCTGTGGACAATGGGTCATCATGAATAACTCAGTGGAAGTGCACACATAGCGGGTCCCACAGGCCTTGGTCAGCTGTCTGAGGGCACGTGTTGACATGCAGTAATTAGAAAGTGCCTCCTAGAGGGGGCTCGGCTGCACTGTCAGCAGCTCAGGCAGCCTAGACTTCCTGTACTGGAAGGCTGCTACCTGGTGCCACCTGGGTCCATGGTGCTCACTGAAGCTTTTGGAGTGAAGATGTAGAGGGGAAGATGGCGACAGCAAGTTTTGATGTGGGGCGGGTTGCCCTCAGAGCAGTGATTTGGACACTCACAGTATGCCACTGTTCCCTAGTGTGACAGAACAGGGGCTGGTACCCCAGCAGTTTCCTGGTAAGTTAGGAAAAGACACTTGGGTTTGGAATGAATGGGATTTGGGAGATGGGTGAATCATCCATCACTGGATGGAGGAAGTAGATCACTGTAGGTGGAGGAAGTGGATCACTGCATGATGGGGTGGATCACCAGATGGAAGATCTGGATCACTAGATGGTGGGGTGGATCACTGGATAGAGGAGGCAGATCATTATACGTGGAGGAGGTGGATCACCAGATGGAGGAGGTGGATCACCAGATGGAGGATGTGGGTCACTGGATGGTGGGGTGAATCACTGGATGGAGGGGGTGGATCACTATAGGTGGAGGAGGTGGATCACCGGATGGAGGAAGTAGATCACTGGATGGTGGGGTGGATCACTATAAGTGGAGGGGGTGGATTACTGGATGGTGGGGGTAGATCACTATATAGGTAGAGGAAGGAGGTGGATCACTGGATGGGGGGTAGATCACTGGATGGAGGGGGTAGATCACTGGATGGAAGGGGTGGATCACTGGATAGAGGTGGTGGATCACTGGATGGAGGAGGTGGATCATCGGATGGAGGGGTGAATCACTGGGTGGAAGGGGTACTTACAGTGAGAC